AAAGAAAGAAAGAAAGAAAGAAAGAAAGAAAGAAAGAAAGAAAGAAAGAAAAGGATGGGAGTTTCAACCTAGTAAAGAAGCAGTCAACAAAGTTGGGGCTCTGAATCTCCTAAGACACGCCCAGATTTGGTCTCATCCAGAGGCTGATTTAGCATAAGCGACTTGAATCTACGTGAAAATCAATGTTGAGATACTGAAACAAAATTAAAGTCTTCCCTCTCAAACCACTCCATTTTGTCTTTTATGTAATTTGGCAAAAAATGTCCTTTGTGACTACAGAAGTAGGGAAGTAGAAAGTGAAATTTAAGAAGGTCTGGAACTAAACACGGTGACATTGCATTGAAATGGAGATAGAAGATGTCAATGTTGCTAAATTCAGGAACTTCCAATCTCATTCTAGTTGAAATGTACCTTTTGGTCAAGCTGTGAAGATATAGCTGGGAACATCTCAGCCACTACAACTGTATTGACAGTACTCTTCTCCCCTCCCCATGGTTAAGGTTAAAATCTATTAAACAGATTACTGGGAGTGATCATAGGACTGTGGAGTTCTTTGACCCCCAGGCCTTGGCCAGGAGGCCTTTGGCCTATTTCTGGTGTTGGTTTGGGGAGCAATTCCTGTAATTAGGCACAGTATGCATAAAATGATTCAACGGGCATAAAGAGAACTTCTCCAGAGCTGAACCAGGACTGAAGCCCATAATGCCAGCAGTTTCCTCAACACTTCGAAGCTCATCACAGCCTAAACCTAGAAAGTGAATACCTGTGGATAAATTGACCAGCGAAGCACAGGGCAGGTTAGTTGGCACTGCATCTGCATCCATGTCCACGTATCTCAGAGGGGAAATCTGCTGGCATGGATACCCTGGGGACAGGGTGACATTGGCAGTGAAGTGTCTTCCCAAAGGAAGTGTGCTAACAGCTGTGTTTTTCTGGGTGGATGCACAAACTGCTGCTCTGCTTTATAGTGAGAGTTCAGGTGTGAGGTGGTGGGGGCAAATGGAGGGGAGGGGAGGGGGCATCTTGCTCCCAGTTGCAGGCTCTCTCCTTGGGCCTGTTATGGTCCAGGATAGCCCCATAGTCAAAATAAGGCTAACATAACACTAGACAAAACTAACACAGGCACTTCTTTGGTTGGCGAAGAAGGGGAAGAGAGGCCAGACAGCCCCCTCCCAAACATCTGTTGGATCTCTCTGGGCCTGGCCCTTGGATCTCCCAAGGGGAAGATGAAGCAGTCTCAAATCAAGACCCAGGTTCTGCAGCTGCCTACTGAGGAAGGTGGAAATGGGAGGCAAACAGGTGTGTTAACAATCAGTTCATGACTAAAGCAAAAGTAGCCCTTAAGAAAAAGTAAACTTTGGGCTGTGTGTAACCAGTGTATCATTCTTGAGTTCTTGTCCCCTTTGTGTAGGAACTAAGATGTCCTCTTGGCACAACATAAAGTTGAGTAGCTACAGCAGCCCAGACTTGAGGAATTAAAGGAGGAGCCTTCCCTGCCAGGGCCTGGGTGTCCTGAGGTAGACTCCTCCTTGATAGAGGGGATTAACTACCAAGCACCATCCACTCTGCAAGAGCTGGAGACCTGTTAATCGTCTTCTCCATCTTCCCATTTGAAGCATAAGAGGTCTTGGATTCATTGATCTTTTCAGCAATCTTGACTCCTGAATAGCTACAGAACCTGGCTCTAGTGGCTCCCAGTAGATGAGGATAGTGGACAGAAGTGGGGTTGCCAGCTCTTCTAGGAGGCCAGCAAGGAGGATGTATGGATGCTTTAGTTATTTGTGATTAAAACAGTGATTTTTAAGTGAGTGGCAAGAACTCTGCCATTAACGGCCAAATGGGCAGAGCTCATTCTTGAGCACTTCTGGGCATCCAGTCTGAGGGATGCTCAACTCCTGCAAAACAAGTGTTTGCTACACCTTTGTATTGTTTTCAAGTTGGAAATTTTCAACACAAATTGTTACAAATTGCTTTTCCCACACTCTACTTTAAAAAAAAAATACTGCTTTTCATACTTCTCACCTTCACCTTATAGTCCTTCCGCCTGGACTTCCAGCTTCAGGGCCACTGTCTGGTTCTACATCTCCCTTGGTGGAGCCCACGAGGTGGGGAGGGGGATAAGGAAGAGACCCCTGCGACCTCATCCTCCACATCCTCCAGAGGTGTGCTTTGGAGGGCGCTGACTGGAAAACGCTGCCTGCAGACATCAGGGCTGGGCTTTTGGGATTTCTGCATTGTCTTTGGTATTGACTAAAAAATAGATTGTAAGAGCCTCCTCTTCCAGCATAGATACATACACTCATGCACATGCACATTGCTCTCTCTCTCTGTCTCTGTTTCTGTGTCTTTGTCTCTCTTTCTCTCTGACTGTCTCTGTCTCTGTCTGTGTCTCTGTCTCTGTCCCTCCCTCTCTGACTGTCTCTGTCTCTCTCTGTGTCTCTGTCTCTCTGTCTCTGTCTCTGTCACTGTCTCTGTCTCTGTCTCTTTCTATCTCTCTCTCTCTCTCTCTCTCTCTCTCTCTCTCTCTCTGTCTTTCTCTTGGTCTCTCTCTCAGTCTCTATCTCTTCTCTCCCCTCTCCCTCTCTCTCTCTCCCTCCCTCCCTCCTTCCTTCCCAAGCAATGCTTTGTTGTGCTAAAACTAGTTGGACGAGTTAGGGTGTTGCTGCTGCTGCTTCTGAGGCCCTGGCCAATGGAACCCGATCCACCCCGCTGTGCGTAAGCGCGCAATTAAGGATTTAACCAAGGCTGTGCTGCGCCTCAGCCAGCAGTCCGCCTGCTGGAGACAGAGCTTCCACGACTCCCCGCCTCCTCCTCGCCGCCGCCGCCGCCGCCTCCTTCTCCTCCTCTTCCTCCTCCTCCCTCGCTCCCACAGTCATGTCTGCTTAGACCGGAGCAGCCCCACAGCCAAGTCCGGCAGCAGTCTCCGCCACAGCAGCAGGGACAGCCGCGTCCGCCGTGAGCGATGACAGGCGTGTTTGACAGAAGGGTCTCCAGCATCCGATCCGGCGACTTCCAAGCTCCGTTCCAGACGTCGGCGGCCATGCACCACCCGTCTCAGGAATCGCCAACTTTGCCCGAGTCGTCCGCCACCGATTCCGACTACTACAGTCCCCCGGGGGGAGCCCCGCACGGCTACTGCTCTCCTACCTCGGCTTCCTACGGCAAAGCGCTCAACGCCTACCAGTATCAGTACCACGGCGTGAACGGCTCGGCCGGGAGCTACCCCGCCAAAACTTACGCCGACTACAGCTACGCCAGTCCCTACCACCAGTACGGCGGAGCCTACAACCGCGTCCCGAGTGCCAGCAGCCAGCCAGGTACGGGGCAGGGGCAGACTCGGGGGGACCGGGCCTCTGGGGGTAGAGGTCCGGGGTGGCAGACAGGGGCCACACTGCCCACTGAAGTGGAAGGCACCCCGGAAGGAGTGGGGGCCGGGACTCTGCAAACGCGGGCCTCTGGACCAGGACTGCATCCAGTCTTCGCCCCGCGGAGCTCGGGCTGTGGTCTCTTCCCCGCGGCATTCCGATGCCTTGGTCGCTAGATTTTCCCGGTTCGCCCAGCCTGAAAGCCAGCTGAGCTGGAAAGAATAAGGGTGGGGAGAAGAAAGAATCTAACAGCCCCAGTGGCGTTTGCGTAATAAAAGGCAGGTTAGTTGTCCGGAATTGGGGTGAGCGCGCTGGTCGTTGCGAGCAGGAGTGGTAGAGCTTTGGGTCCGGTTGAGTCTGGGAACGGCCAGTAGTCAAGGTGGTGCGAGCGCCCAAAGCGGAGAGATGAGCAGGGGCGCTGGGAGCTGTAGTGCGCCAGCGAAGAGCTAGCCGAAGGCGCCGCGGTTAATCCAAGGCACTTCCAGAAACAAAAAGCCATTTAAAGGCGGAGGAGGGTTGCTAAGAGGTCACAGTGTTGGCGGATTTTTTTTTTTTTCTCTCTCACACACACACCATAGGTGTCTAAAATTTGTCTGCCTTCTCCTCTTAACCTTCTCCTTTTTCGTCCCCCTTGAAACTTAAGAGAATTTAAGAGGGTTAGTGCACTTGGGCGGAAAGAGAGGCATGAGGTCTCCGTGCAGAGGTTTTTTTTACTGGTCGAGTTTGATCTCTCTCCACCGACACATTAATAATCCTGCTAATATTAGCATCCCCTACTTTGGCAGAATGGAGACCACAGCCCTCATCCTCCACCCTTCCTCCCCCAAGACACACACATGCACACGCACACGCGCGCGTGCACACACACACACACACACACACACCCTGAAGTGGCTCTTCACCCTTTCCAGAGATCAGTACTTTGGGAAAGGGACTTGCGGGCGCGGGGCATGTTTATAAAACATACGCTGGTATAGTCTCCCCCAACCCACTTTCTACATTTATGACAGTGAAAAATTCGTCTGGATCTGCCTCCCTTTTGCTACGAAAATATTCCGTTAACTTTTTTTTTAAATTTATTTGCTAAACTTCTAAAAAGAACCCCATTCCTTTTGCTGTCTCTGTATTTCGTGCATAAGTGGAAGATTTTTTTTTTTTTTTTGGCCGAGAACATACTAAGTCTATTTGTAAAAGAAACCAGACACATCTGTGCCCTCGCAGATCTGCAGTGAGATTATGGGGGCTGCATAATCGGCCCTCTGTCTGTGGCAGCCCCGACCGCTTGCTGCTGAAGTGAAGGAGCATAGTTTGCTTGTGGGTCTTTGAACTTTGGAGACCTCGGTTAGCTTCTTCCCAGCGCATGCGTCTGGCCTTTGCGGGCGCCCGAGCAGACGCCGACAGAAGCGGGGTCACGGCCCGAGAGAAATTGGCCCTTCTCGCTCCAGAGACACAGGGGAACACAGGGTGGGCTTGAGATCAAGTCTGGCACAAGTAGGAATGGCCCAGAGGGCTGACTCTTGCACGCCCAGAAGTTGTGCTGCATTGAGCTCTTTGCAAAAACTTACCTGAATTAATTAGAGATTACCAGGCTGTTCCATGATTTGGGGAGGGACGTAATTCTTGAGGTTTCAAAAAGCAAAAGTGGCAGTATAAGGAACAAGAGTAAAGAGGTTTTTCTGCTTTTGCTTTTGTATTTTTAAGGCCAGAAACAGAAGCTTCAGAACCTCAAACCCTTCTGCAAAAGGGCCACTGTCTATCCACAAGCTCTAACCTAGTCTGTTTCGATTGTTTAGAAAAAGAAGTGGCGGAGCCCGAGGTGAGGATGGTGAATGGCAAACCAAAGAAAGTTCGTAAACCCAGGACTATTTATTCCAGCTTTCAGCTGGCCGCATTACAGAGAAGGTTTCAGAAGACTCAGTACCTCGCCCTGCCGGAACGCGCCGAGCTGGCGGCCTCGCTGGGACTGACGCAGACACAGGTAAACCCTGTCGCCGCCGGGTACCCGGCCTGCCTCCCCTTCGAGCCTGGCAGGGGGGCGCGATGGACCGGCTGGAGCCGATTCCGAAGTACTTGTGGCACGCACTGAGCAAGTCACCAGCCCCTGCGCCCTTCCCTCCCGAGTCAGGCCAGCTGGTGCCGACGCGTGGCGGTGGGGACGGGTTTGTTATACGCCCTATCATGGCCCCTTGTCTCGTGCCACCAGGGGCGGAGGCCAATTTCTTAGGTTGAAAATACCGGATAGGTAATTTGTAGACGGTCTTGCAATCTTAACAAGGTGTCTGGGTTTCCTCACGTAGGAAAGCCTTCCCGGGGTGCAGCCTTGCGGTGGTCTGAAGCCGGAGACCTAGGAAGGGTCGTGCCCTGCTCCTTCGCAGCTTTGGGCCGTAGCCGCAGCCGCAGCCTGGAGCTCGCGAGGTGGGGGGCGCTGTTGCGTGGGGAAATCTTCCCCCGATTTTCCCCTTCCTTTTGCTCCCAAAGCAACGGACTAGGGCCTAGATAAGCACAAAGAATGTGCGAGTCGCCGCCCAGAGCTGCTGGCGGATCCCGGCCTCGAGGAGCAGAGAGCGAAGGGAGTCGCATAGGAGATCTGGAAGCGCACCCTTCCCTCGGCACGGGTGCTTTGGGCCGGGCCGCCCCACCCCTCGTGTCCCCCTTATCCTCCGCGCTCGGCCTTGGTGCCCTGCGCGATCCCTGCGCCGGGCAGAGGCCTGCATGGGCTCTGCTGCAGCCACAGCCAGCGTCGCTCTCACCTGCCCCCAAGACAAAAGACTAAAGTCTGGGATTGGACCCGTGCAGTGGCCAGTGCGATCCAGGCAGCCAGGGCGCCCTCCAGGCTTTGCCTAAAGCCCAGCCCTGGGCCGAAAGCAAGGAACCGCTCAGGAGATGCCAGGGCCGGGCCATCTAGGAGCCCGAAGATGTCTCCGGGCGCTGCCCGAGGAAGGCGCGGGCGACCTCTGAGCGTCCCGGTAACTGTGCCTTTGTTCCCCCACCCAGGTGAAAATTTGGTTTCAGAACAAAAGATCCAAGATCAAGAAGATCATGAAAAACGGGGACATGCCCCCGGAGCACAGCCCCAGCTCCAGCGACCCGATGGCGTGTAACTCCCCGCAGTCTCCAGCCGTGTGGGAGCCCCAGGGGCCCTCCCGCTCCCTCAGCCATCACGCTCACGCCCACCCTCCGACCTCCAGCCAGTCCCCTGCGTCCAGCTACCTGGAGAACTCGGCTTCCTGGTACCCAAGCGCAGCCACCTCGGTCACTTCCCACCTGGCGCCGCCCGGCTCCTTACAGCACCCGCTGGCCCTGGCCTCGGGGACGCTCTATTAGATGGGCTCTTGCCCTCTTGCTCGCCTTTTTGGGACTACAGTGTTTTGCTGTTTAAGAAAAATCATAAAAGAAAGGATTCATATGGGGAAGTTTGGAAAATGGAAACAAAAAGATTCATGTGTAAAGCTTTTTTTTTTCTTTTTTTCTTTTTTTTTATTTTTTTGCATGTAAGTTATTGCGTTTCAAACAACCATCCTCCCCCTTTTTTTACAAATGAACTTTTTTGCGCAACTGTGGACACTATCAAAGGTGCCTTGAAATCTATGACCTCAACTTTTCAAAAAGACTTTTTTTCAATGTTATTTTAGCCATGTAAATAAATGTAGATAGAGGAATTAAACTGTATATTCTGGATAAATAAAATTATTTCGACCACGAAAGCAGAATGCTTCTGAAAACTACTTTTTGCCCGAGGGAACTGGCTAGTGAAGTTTTATGCAGGTGGTTAAAGAAAGACAAACTCTCTAGAGACCATCAAGGCGAAAAGAAAACCAAAGTTGGAGGCCATATGGATGCAGAACTCTCTGTTGGATGCTCGAGTTTAAGTCTACATTACATATGTGGCCTGTTTATAGTACTGTTGTGCAATATATATTTAGGTGTTTTATTTTTTCTGGTTTAACCACACAACTTGTGTAGATAGTGCTAAGTTTAACTCCAAAATGTTTCAGGTGGAAAATAATGCTGGAATCTAAATGCATATCTCCCAACATACATATGAGTAAGGAGGTAACGGGAATCCCTCAATAAACCCTCTGAATCTAAGCTCAAAGCAATTATCCTGGTGGACTGCCCCCCCATCGGCCTCTGTGTATTGCCAGAGCAATTAGACAAATTACACTCCTTTCGAAGGAGCTTCCAGAGATCTGAAATGGAAAAGAAACAAAAGAAATGGAAATCTCTTATTCCAACCCTACCACGTTTTTAAAAAAATATGAAATGTTTGGGGTGTGGCAAATGGTAAAGCCTTAAAGTCCTTTTGTGTATGATTATGAATGTGTTGGAGCTCTTTCAGAAAGAGGAAGACCCCGCAGGGAAGGAGAACAAAGATAGACCTTAACAGGGGGAGGCACGTCTTGATCCTCCAAGACAGGGAGCTTCCCTATAAGGAAGAGGCATGATGCCTTGTAGCCTTGTATTGATTTCATTTTGGGAGAGATAAAGCTCTTAATATCTTTGACCTTTATTCTTTTTATCATGCTACAGTCATGATAAAAGGCAAAGGCACACCCTCTTCTTTGATTTTTACATAAAACAGTGGTCAGACAGGTTGTAAACACGGGGGAATTGAATCTGTTTATGGGGATTTCTTGTTTGGGGAAGACTTGAAGAATTTGATGCTGCCAAGGCCTATATCTTATCTTTCCCCTCATACCCTGCTCGTAGATCTCCACAGAGTGGCCAGAGCTAGAGCCTGGGCCAGAGCTATGCCCTCAGGCCTGAACTATAGGTGTCTTTCTGGATGCCCTTTCTTCTCCTGATTCTATTTCCTTAGGCTATTGAGGGAACTGTGTGTTGGAAATTGCAAGATGCATGTGAAATATTTTATAGCTAGGAAGTCAGCAGCAGTAAATGTGACAGGAATCTTCTCAAGCTTGGGGGAGGTAGAACATTAAAAAAAAAATTACTTCCTGTCATCTGAGAATTTCTGAGAGCTCTTCCAGGGTTAAGATACTAGACCTGAAAGGTGGAGCTGTGTGCCAAGAGGGAGATTTACCTGTGTTCTCTTTGATTCCTCTCTCCCCACACGACCCTTCCATCTGCTGTATTTCTCCCTCCTCCTCCTTTCCCCTGCTCTGCAGAAAGGACAAGACCACCAGTTTCAAATGACTTGTGCCTTGAAAAACATCCTCTGATGGGCAGCACACCCTGCCACCCACTGTGGCCCACTCTTTTTCCATCACCCCTGTGACCCATCAGCTGCAGCTCCCAGTTTCCCACTCTGCAAGTTCAGGCACAGTGGTCATTCTGTGGGGATGTAGCCAAGGGCTGGGCACCTCCTCCGGCAGGGGGGGGGTGCCAAGGTGAGGGCAGTGCCCATTGTGCTTTCTGTGCCAGGGGAGAAAAGGATAGGGGTGGTGAGAGTAGCAACTTCCTGTTTTTCTTTCTTTGCTTGCTAGAATTTCGGTAGTCTCCATTACACCCAAAGCCAGTGCTTTATTTCTAGCAACTTGGGCTGGGGAGAATCCTGAGTTGGAGGTGTGCAAGTGCCTGGCTTTCCACTCCAAGGGGCAACTCTCTCTGCCCCACAGCGCACTAGAGCTCAGGAAGATGGGTGGGGGCCAGTCTCACTGTACCTTCAACATTTCCCACCCACTGGCTCCTGAGAGTGCCAGGAATGTGCTCGGAATGCACTTTTCCCATTTCTGCACATGGAGAACACATTTATTCTTCCAGCTGACCCTATTACTTTCCTAACCCCATTCCTGGTGGGAAAGTGGGATCCCTCATCCCTTCCAATTAGCCAGACTCTGCTGAAGGAGGGAAGATTCAATACTCTTTTCCGGGAGGAGAAGGAAGCTTTGTCATGACCACCTTCCACACCTAACTTTGACACTGCTCTTTCTTAAGCACCTCAAAGCCCAGCTGCCAGACAGCCAAGCCCAACACCTTGGGCACCCAGACTTGGTTTCAGAATTCTCTTCCTTATGGTAAACTCACTTGTTCTTGGAGTTTCTTCTGTCACAGGGTATTTTACAGAAAAAAAATTTTTGATACTGGAGCCCTGAACAAAAATATTCTGGTAAGCCAGTCTGCTGCAGGCCTTCCCTGGCACCACAGGGATTCTCCCCAGGGAATTTAACTCCCTGCAGTCCTGGCCCAAGGGGTGTAAAAATAACAGAACCTAAGCAAATTCTTAAAAACATCAGCTCTCTCTCTCTCTCTCTCTCTCTCTCTCTCTCTCTCTCTCTCTCTCTCTCCCTTCCCCCACTCTCCCTCTTGTCCTCCATTGTTTCTTCCTATGTCTAATGTTTCTGAGCATTGCTGTTGAGGATGTTTCCAAACCAGCCAACTCAACACTTGTGGACTTCCCTGGAAATCCCCTCTGCCTACTCCTTCCTTGCCCCTCTTGCCTAGCTTTCTCATTCTTGTGCTTGGAAGAAAGCATTCCCGTGCTTTCAAGATCACACCAAGCATGATTTTCTTTTCAGTGTCCTCTTCTCATCCTCCCCCCCCCAATGCTTCCAGCCCCCATCTCCCATCTTCCTACCTCCTGGCAAAGCCCAAGGGGGCTCAGGGCATGCAGAGAGGGCTTTTGGGTTCCCCGGTGCCCTGCCAGCCTCCTAGGCCCTCCTGTAAGAGATCAGATAAATTGGCCTTTGTTCGAGGCCCGGGTTGGGCTAGGCAGGCGGACTTCTGCCCTTTTCTCCCTCTTTTTCCTGGCGGCCACTCCTTGTGGGACAAGAGGCAGCCTGGGGATCCGCGAGAAGCCGCATTCCTGTGGGTGCCAGGCGGCTCCAGTGCTGAGCCACAGGGCTTGAGACACACACAGAGGAACCCGCAGACCTCGCTGCCCTTGATCTAGCTCCCTTGCCCGCTCTCCCTCCCTCCTGTCTGGGAACCCACCAGGGAGCCTGTTCCCCCACAGTCCGATCCACCCAGGGCTCGGCCTCGGGCAGGAGCGCGCTGACCCACACAAAGATGCACAGGTACACCCTCCCAAGTGACAAGGGCTGGGCCAGCAGCTCCCCGCCCCTGCCAGTCTTTTCTGCAGCCTCTCATCCCACAATCCCAGACGCGCCGGCTGGCCTCTTCTGGCTCCTTTGATCCCTCAGACGCCTCACTGCTCGTGGCGTCCCGGCCGCGCCGTCCCGGGAGTCACCCCAGCGGGCAGTGGCCGGGCAGCTCCTGCCTCCTGCCAGCGCGCCCTCGACTGCGCTCAGCCTCCAGAGGCTGCAGCCGGAACGCACTGGCCGCCCGTGCAACCCTGCCCTGGCACACCCACTGTCCTCAGCTCTTCCTTGTATTCCGGAAAGAGGACCTTTAGGACCACCCAACTACCCCTCCCCGCCAGGTCCCACAACCCCTGGGATCGCGCGCCTCCCACTGGCCACTGGGATCTCGCCACCCTCCCGCTCTCCAGCCCTCTGGGAGGCGCACCCCGAAGAGCAGGGCCCCACACCCGCGGATCTACTCTCAGGCACCCCTCCTAAGGGAGGCTCGCCGAGGCTTGGGGAGGAGCGCTACCGCTTGCTCTCGCCCTGGCTGGTGTTCCCAAGCTGCTCACGTACGCTGAGCACGGTGCTAGGGTTTTCAACCCTGGCCCGGTCTCACCAAACTTTGGACCCCAGACATAGTCTAAATAACGGTGGCACATGTGGGACTGGTTAAATGTTTTCTACGAAGCCTTGTTTCTTTCTCTCCCCAACCTTGGCGTTTTCTTTTCCTTTTGACAGGCTTTAGATTTCGCAGTGGTGTCAGGCAGAAAGTATACATTGTATCTACTGCGGGGGCGAGGGAGGAGGTGAGGAGTTGGGGAAACGTCCCTTTCAATCATCGGGGCTGCTGGCTGTAATGCAATAAGCTATTTCATAGGTCGGGCTCTAACGCAGAAGCTAGGAACCGAGGGAATTTGCATAAGTCTCTCTTGAAAGGAGATGAAAGTCCTGTTTTGCAGCAATTAAGTGTTTCTCCTCTTTTGTTCACTTGAACTTCTTATTTACTTCTGATTTATGGGGATCTGAAGGAGTCTTTTGGCCAAAAGCACATGTATTATTGAGTCTGTTCCACACCCTAAACCAAGATTTATATAAAACCGTGAAATACCACACATTACGACCTTTCACCACAGGAAGAAAAAAAAAATGGCTTTCTAGTATCATTCTACCCACAGGCGGGGACACACACACACACACACACACACACACACACACACCCTCTTGGTTTTACTAACAATTCTCTGTGGAATCTCCACTATACATAATCTATTTTTTAAAGAAGTGGGTGGGGTGAAGGGCAGTAAACATTTCCTAGGCTATGATTTATTTTAAAGCATTTTTTTTTTCTTCTTTGAAAGGTATGAAGACAGAAACTGCCACTGGAAGCTTATTGTCACCCAAGGACTATTTCTGCCGCTTGGC